CTCAACCACTTGATTATTAAGGGCAAGAAAGAAAGTCAGGATTAGAGGTTCAGTTTAGGATACCAACTTCTCCAGTTTGCCTGGGACTCAGGGCTTTGGGGTATGTGGGACTTCCAGTTCCAAATCCAGGACAGTGACAGATAAACCAGGATGAGTTGATCACCATTACTCAACCCAATAAATGTGTGCCACTCTGTGCTGGCCCCCAAGCACAGAAGATATGGAGATGGAAGAGACACAGGTCCTGTTCTCTGAAAATGCACAATGTAATAAAAAAAAAAAAGCCATATCCAGCATAAATCTTAGGACCCCGTTGAGCTCTGTCTGGATTGAGTATAAATTCAGCTACAAGTTGAACCACAATTCTAATCTCTATTTATCTCTCTCAAAAAATATCAAAGGGGAGCCAATTCATCACCCACATTTTTCTCTTTAATCCCCTTTTCTTAAATCTCCATCCTGCTTCCTGCCAAGGCTCTGAGGCACCCTCTCACTCAAATTTTTCTCCGAAGAAACCTACTTACAAGAAATCTGCTTCCTCCTCTCTTCCCTGAACTGACAGCACTAGTTCTGTACCCAGAATGTTACTGGGACCAAGCCTCCTCCTGGGCTGTACCAGCAACTTCATAGCCCAGTTCTCCCTCTCTGCTCAGAAGCCTGGTTCTTTTTTTCATTTTGACTGCTTTTCTTGCAAGAAATTCTCCACCTCATTTCACTCACACAAGCAGATCATTTCAACCTGCTCTGCTAAGTGTCATGATGAGGATAATGTGTGCACAGGGAGGTATGTGACCATGGAAGTGAGTACTTACTTCAAGAACAAAGCAGACACTTGGTTTCTGGAACCAAGGTGAGCTTTGTTCTACAGATTTGGGGTTTCTCACTGTTCTAGACCCAGAAGAGCTCTAACTGTGGAGGAGGGGCCCTGGCAGTCTCCATCTGGCCAGCCACAAGCAAATGAGCTTGAAAATAAAGTGAAATGCTCAAACCAAGCCCATGGGGCTCTGTTTTCTGAACCACTCAAGAAAAATGGCTTCTTAAAGGGAAATTAGGGGCAGGAAAAGCTAGACCTGCAGGGCATCATCTATGTGGTTGCTAGATGTGCAGATTAATTATGTCCCTAAGGAACAGAAGATCTTGCCACTGTTAAATGCTAGTGACTTACTAGGTGGTGGGGGGTTGGGAGGGCCTCCTGAATTATAGTTCCTATTGATACCATTGTGGTCCCTGGGAATTGTCCTTTATGGAATGTCATAATGGTCTTAAGTCTAGTGTGGGGCCAGGCTGCCTGTGTTTGAACCCACCAGCTAGCTGTGAGATTCCAAACAAGTTATTTCACCCTTCTGTGCATAATTTCTACCTCCGGAAGATTAAATGAAGTAATGCCTGAAAATTGCTTAGAATAGTGCCTGGTGCATAATAAGCATCATCACATAAGTATTTGTTAAATGATTTTATCATTTTAAGAACCACCTAATATGCATTTATATTTGCCAAGCACTGTACTCACAAAAGTTCCAAAAGGCAGGCAGTTTAAAATATCTCTGGTTTACAGCCAGGAAAACAGACTCAGAGAAGAAAAGTAACTCACCCAAATCACATGGTTGATAAATGGCAAAGTCAGGATCTCAATCCAGATCTATCTGGAGATTGAGCCCCTGCCCTTGGCTCTTCACTATTCTGACTCCCAAACCCAAGTTTGTGACCACCCCTTGCAATTTTTATCTAAGACCCTTGCTTAGTGCCTGCCTCCCTGCTAAGTCCCTCAGAACTCAGGGGTTGTGGCTCATAACTCTGTGTGGGGCAGATTGAGAAGAAGCCACACAGCTGATCAGACTGTACCTGGTTCCTTGAGTCTCTGGCAAGATTCTCCTGCAGAATGAATAGCAAAAGTCCCTAATGGTGTGTCTATGGGCAGTCAGTAATGTCATTTCTGATTAAATAATCTGCTCCCTTGCACATTTTCTGTCCTCATTTCCAGATGACCAAGAGAATCCTAGGTCTCCAGAATCCATTCCCTGTCTGGCCAGCCCTCTTCTGTAGAGGAAAACACCACCTCTGACTCTGGGGGCAGCTGAGAGAAGAAGCTCAGGCCAGGACAGCAGGCAAGATGATTCCCAACCTACTCTACAACTGTGTAGAATAGTAAATATCATATGGAGTGGTTATAACAGAAATAGGAACTAACATGAATCACAGGAGTAACCGAATGTAGGGTCTATTCTGAGCAACTTACATTTCATTTCATATACTCTTCACAACAACCATCAAACACTATTAATAATTTTATAAGTGTGAAACTCTGACGCAGAAAGGAGAAGTCCCATGCCTAGGTGCCCATAGCTAGTTAGTGGCAGAGCAGGGGCAAAGGCCTAAGCCTCTCACTTCTATGTCTATAAGTTCCTGACCCCTGCTTCAACACATCTGGCATGAGCCTGTTTCTCCCTTGGCTCTGCAGATCCAACTTCTAAGCATCCTGTATTTTTTCTGCCCCACCCCCAACTCACCCCATATCTTACTAGCTTCATTACAACTGCCCAAGAATTCTCAGTAGCACACCTGACTAAAGCATAGACTGCCCAATGCAAATAATGCTTCAGAGATAATTTACATAAATAAATGAATCTGCTCCAAGGTCAGGACCTGTATTAAAACTTCTCCCGGGATAATTGGTCTGACTTTGCAAGTTCAGCAATCAGGGAGGACTCCGTTGCTCTGCATCATGCTGGCCTCTCTCCTAAAGTGACCTTCACTATTAGCAAATGCCCTCCTCAGGGCTTCCACACCTTGTTGTGGGCTCTGGGCTGAGAAACGTGTCCCTGAGTCTGCTTGCACCCTCTTCTCACTCTTGTGTAACCTTTGCTTCTTCTGTGGACTAACAAAAAAGTTAGCTTTTTTGCTGCTGTGAACAAAAGACTGATAAGAACAATTTTAAGGAGGAAAGTTTATTTAGGGATTCTCAGTTTCAGAGATTTCCATCCATAGAAGACTGGCCCCACTTGAGGTGAGGCAGAACATCATGGCAGAAGGGTGTGGTGGAGGAAAGCAGCTAGAAACATGGTAACATGAAGCAGAAAGAGACAGAATCTCTCCTCACCACAGACAAAATATATACCCCCAAACCACTCCCCTAGTGACCCACCTCCTCCAGCCACATCCTGCCTGCCTTTAGTTACCACTCAGTTAATCCCTAAAGGGGGATTAATTCACTGAGTAGGTTAAGGCTGTCATACCCAAACATTTCACTTCCAAACTTTCTTGCATTGTTTCACACATGAGGTTTGGGGGGACACTTAATATCTGAATCATAACACCTACTCTTCTTTAAGCAGGTCTACCGTGAGAATCTTCACAGAGACTTCCCGAGGATAATAAGACAGGGTAGAATAGCAGCTTCCATGCAACTGGCCCCCTCCGCATGGTATGTTTGTGATGAATCCAGCTCAATCCCACAGTCCACCTCACTGGGGTGGCCATTTGGGGCTGTTTATGTTAGGTCAGGTCATTTCTCTGGAATAGGAGTCCCCAAGTGCATGGGAAGAAGACTTCACAAATAACCTCTCGGCAAATGAAATCATTGCTGGGTTGCAAGTTTAGCTGTCTCCTCTTCCCTGAAGCTGACACCTCAATCCTTTGCTTACTCTCACTGAATGTTCCAGGGTTAAGTGGTTTAAAGTTAAGGGGAAGGACTTTGAAACTAGGAAAATCAGGCTGTGTTCCCAGCCTTCCCATGTGTTGAGAGCCATTTGTGGGCTGCGTGGGGGCTATATTGCACATGGCAGCCTAGTGAGTAGGAGAATCTGGTGTCGGGAACTTCCAGGGGACATTTCCTCTGGTTGACTGCCCAGACACATTGGGAGCCCTATTCAAGCTCTGCCAAAGGTCCCACACATCACTGGAGGTGGGGTGACCTGCTGTAGCAGCACAGACCCTCTGAGACGGGAGTGACCTGCCAAGATGTCAATCAACCTGCTGACTGCAAGATATCATGAAGCAAGACTCCACCCCTGAAACTTTATCCTTGCCTTTGCCATACCCCCTTAAATAAATCAGAGGAGCCATTTTCTAGTTGTCTAGCTCCAGCTCCTCTCTCAAGTGGACCTATCAGGGGCTCCAACTTTTTGAAGATATCTTTCTGACTTTGTCTTTCGTTTTCACTAATTATTCTAGGTTTTAATTTCTTAGGAGGCTTATACCTCCAAGCAGGCAAGAATTCCCTGGCAAGGTGCTGTCCCCCTGCGTAATACCCATGTACTCGTTCTATGACATCAAACAAGTTGCTTAGCCTCTCTGAACCTTGATTTCTTCATCGGAAAAATAGAAAATAAATACACGCCCACCTCACAGAACTGTTATAATGGCTAAGTGACTTATTGCACATCAGGAAATCAGCACAAGGCAGGAACAAATTGTTCAAAACCTTATGACTGGGCTGGGGATGTGGCTCAAGCGATAGCGCACTCACCTGGCATGTGCGGGGTGCTGGGTTCGATCCTCAGCACCACATAAAAATAAAGATATTGTGTCCAACTAAAATTAAAAAAATAAACATTAAAAAAAGCTTATGACTGACCTCTATGTGTTGGATGATGACTGCTCATGCTACCAACCTTAGAAACTGGTAACTCACATTATCCACTGCCTCCACCTGTGGGGTACAGAGATACTCAGTTTCACATCTACAGTGGAGTGTTCTTCTCCCCACAGGAACATAATATGCAAGACTTTCATAACCTGGTCCCCTCCTGTCCCCAGTACATGTAACTTTAACTATCACTCTTCAGCTACATTTTCCCCTCCCCACAAAATAGTAGGTTTCACACTTTGCACCTTTGTGTGACCATTTACTCAGTATCGAATACCCTTTCCTAGCTTCTCACTCCTTTAGTTTTTCCTTCAAGCATTGCTTTCTCTGAAAGCCTTCCCTGATATACTTTCCCACTCCTGACTGGATCAGGTGACCTCTTATGAGCTTCGGAAGGCTCTGTCCTTTTCCCATCATGGCCCATGTCACACTGAACTTGAATGACCTGTGTGATAGGTAAGTGTCTCAGCCTACAATTTAGTTGTGTGTGTGTGTGCGTGCACACACACACACACAAACATACACACAAAGAGCCTTTCCTTTATTACTAAATAATTGGACTTAATTTCCATTTGACCTCCCAAATAATAATCTCAGTCATTCTAACACCATTTAGGACAGTTAAGATCTTTTTAACCAACTCAAGCCTACTCCCAGTCCCTACACCTTCCCCAGTCTGAGTATGGGCTCTGGGTTCTTGGTGTTATGGCGTAATCAGGGGTGGGGAAAGGTATGGATGGCGCAGTTACCCTTCGGTTGTCATTATTAGTTCATGCTGGAATGACGAGATGCAGCCCATTCCCTCTGGCTCTCTATTATAAATTAATAGTGGTCTTAGCCCCATGATCTTCCTTTCATAATTCAATACTATCTTGAGTTCTCCTCTCTTTTTCTTTGGTGCATGGGAATCATTTCCTATTCTCCATGCAAAGCTGAGCTCTAAAAAGGTTTCTCAAAGCTATCTGTCCTAGACACTCCACATACCATCTCTAGAAAGTTAAGGACAGATACTGTCTGCTCCAGGTTGTCCCCAACCTGCCAGGATAAGCTCTCAATTCCCTACACATCCTCACATTCTCTCTGAGCACTCAGTTCTGAGTGTCAGGGGACCTGTAGTAGGGGTACAGCACCCCAAATTATTTCTATTGTTTCCTTTCTTGCTCTCTGCCATCAGCCCAGAAAATCTTTACCTGTTATGAAACAGGCGGGAAAACACTTCTGATTGATCTAATTCTTTCAAAGCAAAGACTTTGGGAATCTAAATTCCTATGCTCTTCAAATCCAAAAACGTTCTTTCAAACTACTGTCTGCTCCTCGAGTTTTCAAACATATTTAGAAACTCAAAAGCCAGGGCTTGACTTATATCTTTCTGTATTCTCCCATAACAACCCTTCCCAGAGGCACACACACAAAAAAAAAATGCCTCAAGATCTAGTTTGAACAGAGAATAAGCTATAGGATTAAAAAGATGAAGAAGAAGTAGGAATTCAGAATAATTAAATAAAATAGAAATGGTATCCCACTACCTCTGTTAACTCTTTCTGATTTGAGCATTTTGAAACCAATTATTACATTTGTTTCATTCTTACTATGTCCTTAGTAAAATGTTAGTTTAAAATAAAGCATATGAAAGGTGACTGATTTTTGCTTACAGTTCTTGGAATTTCAAGGAATAAATACCATAATTGATTATTAAATGGAATTTGGGTAAATAATACAAAGGAAGCAAAACTCCCTGGAAAAGCTTTAAAGGTGGTAAAATCAACCAAAAGAGTATTCTTGGCTTTTCTGCATAACTTTTATTTTAAAGCCTCTCCTAAGAAGTGACCAGGGGTCAGACACTTTCCAATGCTTTACATATATTATCTCATTTAATCACATCATAGAAAAAAATGGAATCTTCTAAGGATCAGTAGTCCTGGTATTTGGGGCCCACTTTCTCACTGTGAGATGGGAAGGCTCTCTCCCCTGAGGTGCCTGCCACCCTCAAAGTCTCCTCGGTTCAGGTAGAATAATACGAGGGGCTGGAATGTCACAAGAACTGAGCATCTTTCCTGGCATCTGTGGCTCTGACCTCATTAAATCTGCAAGTGAAAAACCTGGAAACATATTTATCACTTCATCACCTGTTTTGTATGATCAACTCTTGCACTGAGATAAATCCATGGAGGTTAATATGGGGAAACTGGTTATAATTTCAGGAAGGCTCTTTGAAAATTCATATTGCATTTGCCCTGAGGCTCATAATTTGACTTTCAATCATCACAGCTGAAGGACGTGGCATGAAAATTTTATAGTAAAAAGAGAATTCGTGAACCAGAAGTAACCTCCTTTATCAGTTTAATTATTTTCTTTTCTTTTTGTTTATTGATAATGGGGGTTGAACCCAGAGCTTTGCATATGCTAAGCATGTGTTCTACCACTAAGCTACATTCCCATCCCCAACTATTTACTTTTAAAGAGAAAATATGGAAATATAATTCACAGATATATTGTTCCTCAGATTTAGCATGGAGAGCAAGATGGCTATGCTTTTTTTTAACTCAGGGGTGCTTAACCACTGAGCCACACTCCCAACCATTTTTTGTATTTTATTCAGAGACAGGGTCTCACTGGGTTGCTTAGTGCCTCACTAAGTTACTGAGGCTGGCTTTGAATTCATGATGCTTCTGTCTCAACCTCCTGAGCCACTGGGATTACGGGTATGCACACACCTGGCAAGATAGCTATGCTTTTGAAAGCTAAATATACTCATTTATTCAGAATCATCCTTAGGTTATTGTTGCCCAACTAAATTGCCAAAGGGGCAATTTAGTGCAGGCAAATGACTGCTAGACTTGGTCAAGACTCAAGTCAGGCCAGGACTCTTTCCCACTTCACTTGCTAAGTCATTGTCTTCTCATCTGGAGATTGCAATATCCACCCTACCAATAGTACATCAGTTGCTCCACATGAAAGAGTTGTATGATCTGTGAATCTGTGACGCACCATGTCCTCATGAAGGAGAGAGGGCAACCTGACTGCCAAGCTGACGATTCCTGTCCTTCTTGTAGGAATAATAGAATCACAACTAACACTTTTAGAGCACTCTCCATATACCAACACTGCCCTAAGAGTTAGCTCATTTAATCCTCAAACAATTCCCAAGTGGTGGTTACTATTACTATTCCCATCTTATGGATAAGAAAACTGAGTCATGGAGAGGCTAAGTAATTTGCCCAAAATAAAGCTGAGAGTCTAACCCAGGCCATCCTGCTCCAAAATTTCTTCTCTGAATACCCATGGTCAAGATATCTTCCAACCCCGCTCACATCTCTATCCTTTGATCTTCTCTAAAGCCACACTTCTTTAAGTCCTACAGTAACTGAAAGAAATACAACTCTCCAGAACTGAGTCTTCCTGGGATCTTGAGCCACTACTCCACAAAGAGCTTTTATTCAGAATCACTTTTATATCCTATAGACATAGAACTTCTGCTTGGTGGCCTTCTTCTGGAGTCATGAAGAGCAAAGTGAGTCCCTTCCTCCTGTGAATAGCTCAAATACTGAAGATGATTATTAATTCCCTGTAATTCTTATTTAAAGACTAAACATCCCAGATACTTCAACACTTCATGCCAAGAATGTTCCAGGGTCTTTTGAAGGTACTCACTTCTCATCTCTTTGTTCCTGTTCCTGTCCACTGACTATGACTGGACATACAACCACAAGGGTAATCTGTCTAGGACAGAGGCCAGGACTGCATTTCCCATAGCAGGATTGTCTGTACGCCATACACTACTAGGACAACTAACAGTCATGCTTCATTTTGACTAGCCTATGTATTCATCTGAGCTCAGTTTGCCTCCAAGCCTGAGAAATCTCTAAGATATGGAAGCTCTTCCTGGTAGAGAACAACTTTTCTAACTGAGGAAGTTTCAGTCAATGTCCATGCCCTGAGATGAACTACTTTGTTTTTAGATTCACCCTCCCCATCCCTCCAACATTGATTCTTCTCATTCTCCTTCCTTTAGGCCTCTTTCCTTCATCTTCTTCGGTCAGACATTCATTCATTTCTTCATTCACTCATATATATGGAGACCATAAAAAAACTGGCATGCCAGAAATCAGAGTCATAAAATATTAGAACTCTTTACGAGTTCTGAAGAACTTTGAGGTTCACTATTGTTTTAATGCTGTGTAGAAGACAGACATGCTTTGGAGCATGCTTACCACTTGATAAGTTCTTGCTAAATTTAAATATAGGAGTACATGTATATGATATGTATATGATATGAAATCATCTTCAGCATTTGAGCTGTTCCCAGGAGGAAGGGACTCACTTTGCTCTTCATGACTCCATATAATATATATATATATATATATATATATATATATATATATATATATATATATATGGAATATATATATACATATATATACACACACATATGTAGACATATATGATTATCTATAATGTTTCCAAATACTTTTTGAAAGGAAGTTAATAGGAAATAGTACCTATTTTGTGGGATTTACATTTACATTTTCATCTTGCAACATGCTCACCACCCATCTCTGTGTTCCTCTGACTTTGTTCCCTAGACATAATTAAGAGAAATTTTCAAAGAAATGTCTAGATAAAAAATCATTTGTAGATTTTTCTCAAGGACATTCTTTATTCTGCTTACTTGCTGACTTTGGGAAGATGTTGGATACCAAAGGTTTATTTCAATAATAATTTCCTTAGATGAAGGGTTTCCTTTGATTTCCTTTGAATTCATAACATTTCTCTGTGCAACAAATTGTTTAACCCTCAGTCAAGAACAAAGAATCAAATTGTTGTTAAGTCAATCTATAATCTAAAAGGTTATTGACTATTATAAATTATTTTTTAGATCTTAACTTTTAATAAAGTTAACCTCTCTCTTTGTATATACTATATTACACAGCACCCCCAAACTCTTACTTTGCTCCTGATTCTGTGAGTTGGACAGGTTCAGTGTAGATGGCATGTGTTTACCACACTTGGAGTCAGCTGAGATGATTAAGTAAGCAAGAGAGGACTAAGGGCACCTTGTTACTTGTCTGAGAGCTTGGTGTTGGCAGAGGCTGGGTGCCTAATTCTCTAGGTGGCCTCCCTTGCCAGATAACCTCTCTGAAGCAGAATTGCCTAGATTTCTTTATGTAGAGGCTGGCTTTTGAGAGCAAAAGCAGAAGTTATAAGATCTTTTAAGGACTGGGCTGGAAGGTTTCAGAACATCACTCCACTATGTTCTCTTGATAAAATCAAGTCACAGGTTAAGTCCAGATTCAAGGGTAGGGAAATAAAACCCAGTTCTGGATGGGTTAAGGAGCCAAGTTTGCAAAGGGGTACAGACATAAGAAGGCATGATTTATTGGATGCTATGTTAAATAATCTGCTACAAATAGGTGCTCCAAATGGATGTAATTATGTTACTGAGATAAGTTGCTACT